CCTGTGCCTGCTCCAGACAACCCCACGTGGGCTGAGAGTGACTGCAGCAGGGAGTGCTGGCCACAGGGCGGGCAAGGGGCCATTTTTCCCTGTGCTCAGCACCAACTTCTTACCTGCTGGTGAGCAAGAGGCTGGGGCTGTGCACTGCCCCCCGCCTGTACTGCAGGGCTGGAGGGCACTGGGTGTGAGTTGGCAGGGAGCCAGCAGGAGCACAGGACCTGCACCGGTGTCCTAGAGCCAGTGCTGGCAAGGCCCAGGGCAGGGTGGCAGAAATGGAGGGTCCTAGTTGGCAGGGGCTCTATGGAGCTGGGCCAGCTCCCCCCCTCTCCCTGCTGGTGCAGCCCAGCCTGACTCCACAGATCCCTGCCAGCCTGTACCCTGCTTTGGGCCCCACCGGTGCTGGCCCTGGGACCAATGTCTTGGGACCAAAGACATTGGGACATTGGTCCCAAGATGGTGACCAAGGGGCGGGGCTACCCACGTGGCCCTCAACAGCCTGCCAAAACTGGGTAAGCAGCCCCTCCACCCAAAATAATTTCCCGCCTCCAGTATAGATCCTACACTGGGGACACCTGATGACATATAATATAAATCCTACACTGGGGATGAAGTTCACTCAGAACTTGTAGTGCCAGGGAGTTCAAGATGCATTCAGATATCTGTGTAGTTCAGACTTTGTGGAAATGGTTACCTGTTGTACTCAAGAACTGAGGCCTCCAGCAACATTAAATAAGTCAGTGGTACCTAACCGTTTTTAAACTCCCTCCTCACCCCCCTCAGTCCAGCCAGTGCAGCAACAGCTCTGCTGGGGGGCCTGATCTGGCTGGGCAAGTCTCTGAAACTAGCTGGTGAGGAAGTGATGACAGTGCTAACCGCTATCACTCCCCTGCTGCCAAATTTTGATTCGTGGGGAGACCTGCAGGCCACATGTCATGGCTCAAAGGGCTGAATTTGGCCAGTGGACTGTTGAGTTGAGCACCCCTGAAATAAAATAAACCATGTTTGATCTCTTTGGGGGCAGAAAGACTACTTTTGAGATGAGAAATTAATTATTCCAATGGTGTTCAGGTATATCTGATCTTCCTTTCCAAGTCTATCAGCTTACCAGAACTTAGCATTTGTGCTAAGGTATCTCTAGTCCTACATCTTTCATAATTTTTTTTTCTTCTTATGCAGTCTACTGTTGTGCAGTGATGATCTGATATTCAGAAGTCTACAGCCTGATTAATTCCTGTACAAACACTTTAAGAAGATGCAGAGAAGTGATGATTAGTGAGGTCAAGGGATACTATTCCTCCTCAGCTGAATTATTTTCGGGTACTGTCCAGGAGAAATATTTTGGGAAATGTACTGGTCTGATAAATACTGAATTAACAGTGATGTGATTATTAACATTAAGTCACTTCTTACCAGATGCTTTCTACAGAAAGCCATGTATCAACTGCATCATCTGCACAGGCCATGCCTTTATCTTTCCTCCATAACTTTGAAACAGATGCATTCTTCTGACCATGTTGTTTAAATACTGTAGCTCCTCCCTCTCAAAAGGCTTCCAGTACTGGTACACAGTAATGTTTACTTTGGTCAAACCACAGTAGATGTGTTTTACTGATCCAGGAGGCTGTGAGAGCATACCTATTCCAAATGCCATCTGTGGCATTATGCGTAAGAGATGGTGGTTAATCATGCCTTTGCTAGGGTGGAGCATGGGATAACAACAACTTGTACAGAAGTTGCAATTAGTGTTGGGATCCATGTTAATTCATCTTTTCCCCACTTTTAAAAAGTTTCTAACTCTAAAATTTTTCTTACATCTTTCTCTCTTTTGAAAAGCACACTGTAGCACTTCTTTTAATTTTCTTTGCATTAAGATTGTTATTAATAAACAATGTTACAGTGAATGCCTCCACGTTGCCTTTCAAGTAAAGTGCCTTAAAAGTGAAAGTTATTCTTAACATAATTGAGTATTTCAGTTTTGTATTGGTAGGAATCTCCATAAATCGCACCAAAAGTACCCCTGCAGGAGCTTCTTTAGTATTTTCATTTTGCCACTTGTCTCCCTCCCCCTCCACCAACCGGTGGATGGACCCCGTAGGCTGGGCTGGGCTGCTTGCTGCTGTCTTAATATACCACATTTTTTTGCTTTTCCACCAACAGCAGAAAATGCCTCAGCTGATGGGGCCCCTCCACCAGTCAGGGGAAAGGGGGTGGTGGAAGGGGGAGGGAGAAGAGGGAAGCAGCAAACTGAAAACATTAGAAGGAGATGCTGCAGGGTGCATATCCGGTGTGATTTATGGAGATCCCTACCTATTGGATATTGGTATTATGACATTTGAAATTGTATACTTTATTATATACACAAGATGATTAAAGATTCATCTGAAACAAATATTTTCCCCTGTGCTAGAGACCCAAAAGTGAAAATGCTATTATGATGCTTTCAAAAGACGCATTTTCTGTGCCTACTTACATCTTTTAGGGTAATAATATTTGGATGCTGTCCATAGCGGAGTAGGATTTCAATTTCTTCTGTTGGATCTCTTTTACTTTTGTCAATAATCTAAAAGACCAAAACAGATTAAAAAAAATAAATACTTTATTAACAGTAAAGAATATAGCATATGTTCTTTTGTAAAAATATACAATACAAACTTATAACAGAATTCTCTATTTAGTATAAAGGTGACAGAAGTTTTGGTTACAATACAGCCTTTTTCCCAAAATCCTAGATGGCAGGGTAGAAAAAGATCTTTTGTTAAACAAAAAAGGGGAAAAAAAATCTCTCAGGTAGACAAGATGATGGTTGATAATGATAATGCTTGTTAGGTCATGAAAATTAACACAAGGTTAGTGGTAAGTAAGATTTCAACTATCCCTGATTTAATAGAGCCTAAGCTCCCTGACTTTGCATGTAATACTCAATCTTGGTTTAAACACTATGCAACTGGTTTTTGTTATACTGGTCTCCAACCACACCCTCCCCATCAACAGGAACCAAAGTGAATCAATGAAGACAGCAAGGAAACTAAAAAAGGAAAAATTCTGCGATTCAGAGTTGGTTCAGTTAAGCTTTCTAAGCCCCTGAAAGACATTCATTTAGATGTGCCATGGGATATGATCCCCAATCCCAACAAAATTACACTCCTGACATGGCACCTGCATATGGCAGGTGGCACAATTTTGGGATTGGGGATCAGATCCTAAGTGCGCCCTATTTTACAAAGCAGAAGGAGCCCAGGCTTATCATCATGACTGCAGTTAAAATTATATAATAATCATGATTATAACCTGGGGTTCCCCCTCCAGCAGCAAGTTGAAAGTCAAGTGCCCATGGGTCTGGGGTTGGGATGAGTATCAGCTTATTATTTGCCTAGCAGGGACTGCACTTGAGCCAGTTCCAGATGCCAGCGCAGTCCTCAGTCTGAGCCAACATTCAGCTGATTGTCAGCCTGGCCAGACGTTCAATTTCAGATGCCATATAAGCCAGCCATAAAATTGTTCCACATTATAACATGAAACCAACTTTATGGCTGGTTTGTCATTTTACGTCACCTTAAAGTGAATGCACGAATAGCACTCATTATTTATGCTGCAATTAACATTTAACATGTTATGAAAGATGTGAAGTCAGGCCCTGGTATTATCTCATAAAACCATATCTTTTCTGACCAAAGCCATTTCCCTCTTCCTATGAAGACAGGCTATTCACATCTGATATAACAAAAATAGTTAATGAATTCCCTTCTGATATCTGCAACTGAAGCCAACAAGCTGCTTTCTCGGTGTTGCAGTGTTTTCTTTCTTCCTCCCCTATGAGTTGTATGGTTTCCCCCTAATGCCTAATCCATCTTTTTATCTACCTTTTCCCCTTCAGAAGTGATGAAGCCCCTGCTGCATCCTTTTACAACTCTAAATACTCAAGCATCTGCCTCAATATGTCACTGATGCTCAGAATTCCAACAAGTAGTGACACCAAGAGAAAACAAAGGGGAGCAAGTGGAACACAGCAGGAGACTAGAGAAGGAATTCCAGAAATGAAAATATTGATCTGTCCCATTGATTCAGGGCTCAAGAAACTACCTGGGACTCTACCCCGGAAGTCACCATCTGTATTTAAGGGAAAACTGTTGGCAAGTAGACCAATACCACCATTGAAAAAGGAGGATTTCCAGTGAAACCTCTGGTTTCAGGATAAGCAAATGTAGAGCTAATCTGAACAGTTTTAGCTACAGAGATGAACTGTAAATTAGGACTGTGTAAGCTCCAGTCGCTGATTCAGTTTGGTGGAGACTGGGCCCGATTTGGCATCTGACTCTCTGAATCCAATCAGGAGACCCTTTAATCTCTCCGAATCAAATCAGAACTCTGAATCAATTCAGGGAGATTCAATGATTCGGACATAGACACAACTTTAAATGTTTTTTCTACATACCTCAAGGCTTGTGAACACTGAGATGGGTAGGGCAGATGGAGCATCCCATGGGAGTGCAGGGGGCGGTGCCCAGTTTGGTCCACTTCTGGGTCCTCTAGGGAGTGCATGGGGGACCCCCCTCTGCCCTCTGGCTCAGTGACTGGTGCCTCCTGGGTCTGGTGGGGCAACCAGGGTCCCCCTGAGCACTCTGCAGCGGACCCGGAAGTTCGGGTTTACCGCCGAGCACACAGGCCCTCCCCCCTCTCTCTCCCCACCCCGCACTCCTGTGGGATGCTCCATCCACGTCACCATCTCAGCATTCATGAGTCACGCCTGGTACCTTGAGGTATGTAGAAGAAACATTTAAAAAGCTGTGTCTATGGCCAAATTGCTGATTCTCTGAATCGGCATCCAATCTTCAGATTCGGATTCGGCCAAATCAAATCAGGACAGTGATCCGAATCAACAAATTGAATCACTGTCCCCGATCTGGGCCGAATCTGAATCCAATACAGCCCATTTCACACACCCCAACTGTAAATACTACTTAAATAATAATAATAAAAAAGTAAATTCCTTCAAATAACAGTTTAAAAATGCCTACCAAACTGTGTCCCTGTTTCACCAAGAGGCAAGATTTTCACATTAGTACAGGTACATTTTTATTTTTATCCTTTATTCTCCATCATTTAAAAAAAAAAAATCCAGTGAACTGATAAAAGCAATCTTTAAGGCTTTTTAACATACTAATGACATTTACATAGTAATGGTTTAAACGAGTAAGAGTGAAGAAAGGAATCTAGACTCTAGAAAAATATAAAATTAGAAGTACTGTTTGTGTAGTAGCAGAAACATTATTCTAACTGATCATTTTATATCTACCTACCTATCTCCGTTTTGGAACTAACAAACTTACCTAATATATGTACACTATTTAAAAATAGTGTTCTGTAATGCAGACTCTTTGGGATACAATTCCTCCTGAAGCATGCATACATCTTCCAAGTTAACCACATACTTCAAGGGGAGAGGACTGATCCCTTCTTTAAGTTGTTTAAAACAGTGGTTTTCAAGCTTCCATAAGAAATGGAACCTTTTAATATCACTGCTGCCATGGTATCCTTACCTGTATCCTCAAAACTGATGTGGAGCCAGGTGACCTGGCCCAGCAATGTTAGCACACTGCCTCCTGGCCTGCTCTGCCATTACCCACAATCTCTTTACAGAACCCCTGACAACATACCATGAAACCCCAGGGTTGCACAGAACACTGTTTGAAAACCTCTGGCTTAACAGATAATAAAAATATAAACATTCCAGTCAGAGAATAACTGGCATCTGCACCTATAATTATTTTTCTATTTCATTTAAGAAAGCACTACAACAACATGATTTTTTATTTAGGTTGGATGCAATGTAAGATACTGACCTACAACTTAGTAAATTCTGAAAATAAAATTGTTAGCAATTGCACGTTTTCACAAGATGGTTACCTTAACTGCGTATTCCATGTTTGTAGCTTTATGTATACATCTCTTGCAGACAGAATAGGAGCCAACCCCAATGTCTTCTTTTACTTCATATCCATCAGTAAACTGAATGCTGTTCCTGTGCAACTGCTACCAAAATAATATTATCAATTGATGAATACTCTCACACACACAAAACTTTCCTTTACATATAGCAGTGGTTTTCAACCTTTTTAGACTAAAGGCACCTCCCAGAAAATACCAGCTCAATGAAGCAATTCTTGTTGTAATCTTTCCAAGTTCTGTGCAATAGGTCAAAATACTTATGATAAGATGAATTCCTATTTCAAATCTCTGGGTTTCTCTTTTGAGCCATCTGTAAGTGTCTTCACATGAAACAGTGCAAATATTGTTGCATATTGCAGCACCCCTAAAATGATCTTGTGGCACCCCAGTGTGTCACAGCACCCTGGCCGAGAATCACTGACACAGGAGAACAAGTTTTCCATTTCCTATTGATTAACAGGTCTTGTTTCATCTAGAAGTTTCAAAAGCTCATTACCTTTTATAATACATTTCAAACAAAACCAGTATTTATCATTTTTCTTGGACGCTGTTTGACAGTACTACTACATTTATGCTTACTGCTCTCTATTAATATAAAGGAAAACATGTGAAACAAAGATTAGAAAAAAATCTTTTAATGATAAAAATACCACTGTTTCTAGTCTCATCTGAAAAAATGTGGACATAAAATAAGTTCAGTTTCTTTGCAAGTGAAGTGCTTACTGTGGGAAATTCAGAAACAATGGATACAACTGGTATCACTCAGAACTACAAGCATGAGTAGGAATGGGAATAACAAGGTCCTTGCAGTCTGGGATAAAGAGCTGGAAGAGAGACTGATGTGTCAGCCTGTTTTGCACTGGAAAAGAAATGGTGTTTTGATGCAAGGAAACAGTTAGTGGGGGGTTGTACTAAGGATGCATATCATTAGCAGGAAGCCATCTGGGTATTCTGCAGACATGAAAAGAGGAAACAGGAGTGAGGAAGTGGCTGACAGTGCAGAGGAAAGGGAGCAGAAAAGTTCTGCAAAATTTTTAAAGGAGGAGGAATGTATACAAAGAAATTCACTGGCAAATCTGGGCAGGGAAGACACAGTACTGCAAACTGCAGAAACTGGGAGATATTCAGGACTAATAGGCAAAATGTAGAACATTCTAATATACAACTAAATATTCCTTTAGAAAATTGACTATTCAAATTTAATCTGATAATTCAACCAACTCAACACCTTAAGTAGGTAGTTTGTTCAAATAAACCTACGTATACTAAATATATTAATAAAAAAGATTTAGCTAGGCAGAGAACAAAAGAGCTGTTCATATTTTGTTCAAATCACCTTTCAAGTGTCATACATTTTCAGATGCTTGCAAGGTGTCATTGCAGTCAAAATACAAACAAAATCAGTGACAGACTATCATTTTGGTACTTTCTATGCCATGGAGAAGAGGCTTTTCAACTGTTAGAGAGAGGCTTTCCTTCACACATGGAAAATATGGTAGCAGAGGTATGTGACAGAGATGAAATTTTTACTTGGACCTTCCACTTCTACAGTTCCCTGAACCTCATTGTTTAGCATTTTTCCATACACTCTCCAGTCATGAAGTGCCTTCTTACATCAACATTTATATATTTATATTACCCCCACTCCCCTCCCCAGCAACTTGATGTCATCCTTTCCCATGTCACAGAAGACTGTACTTAACCAGTGCTTTATTGTCCACATATAGTAGTAATAACAACACAGCATATTAAAAAAAACAAGATATTTGGCTAATGGAATTTGTGAACTCACAACTATGAGAGTTTTAATTCTATTCAGAAACCAAAAGTTCCCATGTACAGTGATACCAGGTCAGTTGCTGACCACAGAAGACTTCAAGTAGTACTACCACCTATTAGTACAGCTCCTTAATGTGTGGGTTAAAAAGAAGTATGTGCACAAAACATCTTTGTACACAATTTACCAGTTTAACATACTGCAGTCTAAGTCATCCTTATGTTTGCATTTTGCAGCCATATTTCAGATGTTTTTGCTGAATGGTATTAGAACAATATACCTTACAGAACAGAAAAAATGATCCAAGTGCCACTTGGTTTTACACGCTCTTCATTTTCTTCTTTATAAATGTTTTAAGGGTGGTTAAAGTTACTAGTTCTTGTGCAGTAGCACTGGCGCACAGTTTTTTAGTAACGCTTACTACACAGTAGCCTAATACTACTGCACAGCAGCATATTAGCATGGTTTCTGCCTGGCAAGCTACTGCTCAGTGTTATTAGGCAACTGCGCATTAAGCATCTTGTGTACGTGTGCCCAGTATGTCTCAGATAGCAAAACAACCAACCATCTTCAACAGTTAAAACCTACATCTACAGGTAAAAAGCAATAGGTGCAGGTTTGTGAAAGGTTTTGGTTCTTGACTGAAGTTCTCATGACACTTCCTGAAAACCCTACCACCTGTCATGGTCTAGTCTGTGTTGGTTTTTTTTCTTTAAGAGATCCGGATTTTATTGGCCTGGATTCAAAGGTGTGATGTGTGATCTATTTTGAACACTGATGACTATCATGCTTATCTAAACGCACTCCGCTATTAATATCAGACAATTCTTGTCAGGTGTTTCAGGAACTTGATTATGAAAAGGAAGACTAAAAAAATCCTATTTTATGCAGAGAACAAGTTATTTAAAAGGACTGATCTTCCATCCTTATGTTGTTCACTCTTAAGCAAAACCATTCACCTGAACAATTGAATGCACTCCCACGGTCTGCATTCCCTGGCTTTCATCATCTGATGCAATAGCTACAAAACTGAAACCCCGAAAAAGCTGATGTGCATTAGCACTAGGTGGAATACCAGGTGAATCTGAAACACAAAGATGTCATCAAGAAAACTCATTCAAAAACTTATTCAATACAAAAGCAACAAACTAACAAATAATTAGGATGTCTAGGATGAAAAATTATGGGTTTTATACTAATTTCCAATATTGGAAGAGATTTTTTCTTCCTCCATAAACTAGTATGGAAAGTGAGATCCAGATAGTGTTTTGTACCTGAAATATACAAACTTCAGAGTGACAAGGTGCTGTTAATATCACCCTGCAAGCTACATCAATCCCTTTAAAAGCACTGCTTATTACTAGAACATAATTTATGCCTTCTTAAATGGGCTGTAGTATTCCCATTTTTCTAGAAAATACATGTTATGCTCCAGGATGTGCATTTTCACAGGTAAACATGCATGTTTGCATAATAATTTAGGCTCTAATTAACAAGAACGCATATTCATAACAGTCTACCCCTCTCCCTGTATAAAAAAACCCAGAAGCTGACCAAACTGCAAAACGTTTTGCATATTATGCTTGGCAGACATAGCCATGAATTAAAGAGGACACTACAAAACTGCAAGTACAGTTGAAGTTTTCCACTAGAACCCTGACTTCTAAACTAAAATTATAATCTGCATATGTGTGGTAAACAATGCTTCCCCCAAGTAGTCTCACTGGGCTAGTCCCCATGAGCACACACATGCAGTCGGCAATGCCATAAATGCGTGCACATGCACGTGATCTCTGTGCTGCTAGTTTGCAGTGGGGTGGGTATTTTTTGACACAAGGAGATCCCAGTGCAAAAAAAGAACTGCCACAACCCCCCCACCCCCAGCCAAAAAACGTGGCACAGCATATGGTGTCAGAAAGGAAGCCTGGCTGGCCAGAGCCATGCTCTGGTTGCCAGCCAGGCTCTGAATGCCCAGATCGCTGCTGGAGCCCCAGGCAGTCTGTACATGGTTAAGTACGGACAATCAAAAAGCCCACAAGCTAAATTAGTTCAATTTTTGCACGTTAGTCTAAGCTGAGTAGACTGAACCAACAAGCAAGTGAACAGACACTCACTTTTGATTCCAGAGATATAGCCATGTACCTGCAGCAGCCCAGACCAGAAGTGGGGGAAGGCACAGCTAGAGCCTCCCTGCTTGGCTAGAGCAGACAGCTTGGGTCAAGACTAGCCTAGATACCCTGCTAGGGGGGTTTATATGGGGGTGGGGCAAAACATCCTGGGATGTTAACTTGAGTTAACTTGAATCTGGAGGGGATCTGGGACAGAAGTTCAATAAACCAATTTAACTTAAATCAGTTAAGTCTGATACTACATCCATCCAGGTTTATCTTAAACCTGTTTCAGCCATTCTGAAAGCAGTCTACATGCACTGAACTTTTGTTGCGTTACAGATCTGAATCAGTTTCTGATCGCTTACATGGTTTGTGTAATTTCTGTCCCTGGCCCGTATGATTGCTTCTGTGGGTGAAGGTCCAGGTACTTCTAGGCCCAGACTTTACAAGCAGTTATGGTATGCCTGTTTCTACAGTCAATGGCTCACAAAGGAGTGAGTGACTTGCATTACATTCAGCAGCTTTCAATTCCCCCACCCAAGTCACCAAAAACCCATTTAGAGCTCAGTCAACAGGGAGAGCCTTTGGAGTCTGGAATGGGGCTCTAATTCATATTTCTAGAGCTGTAATAAGAGGCCTTAATCATTTTGCTACCACACCCTTTGTCCCTGTAGAATTGTCAATGACAGGGAAAAAAGACAAGACAGTTCTTCCTTCCTTTAGAATACAGCTGGGAGGAAGACTAGTCAAAAGTCTAACATACAATAAAAATGAAGGTTTTGTACACTTAGTTGCTCAGAAATTGAATGCAATAGGATGAGACTATAGGCAATTAAAAACTGAAATATTACTTCCGGAATGCTTAAAATTACCTTTTGGTGTTTTTGCTGTGAATTCAGGATCAAAATAAAATGTATCCTCTGGTCTACCAGTTGCAGGTTTAAAAGGTGGATGAATTTCTCTCCTGTACAATTTCTAAAGAGAAGGTAGGGGTTAGAGTGCCTAGAAAAAGTTTTGTAACTTGCAGTATAAGTTTCCTTAAAAGAAAAGTATTTAATGTAAAAGGACTCACATTCCAGTCTATTGTAGAGAAAAATGGATGTCTCTTAATTTCTTCGACTCCATCTGGACCTGCCCCTGTTATATAAACAAGCTGAGAATTACTCTTCACATCAACTAAACACTAATTTATATCATTTGTCTTATTTTCACTGCATTTATTTTAAAAAGTTTAAATTGTAAAAAATTGTTGAAATCATCAATTTTTTACACTGTCACGATATCAGTACACACAAATGCATTTGACAACACCGCCCCCCCCCAGAAACAAACCTAAAAGACTTATCTTGTTAAGATTAAAAAGTCACTTAGGTAGTTTAAAGCCTTCCATTAAATACTTTACCTAATCTGTTTGCAGGGTTTCTCTTGAAGAGCATTCGGAGAAGACTCTGAGCCTCAGGGCTTAAAAACTGGGGCATTCCAAGTTTGGCTCTACACAACAAAAAATATTAATAGGACATAGACATTAAGACAGTGGGGGCCAACCTTTTAGATAGGTGTGCCACAAATTAAGCCTTCCCAAGTGCTACTCAAACCTGCTTCTCCTGCTGTTCTGCTTTCTGCTCCCTGCCTGATCTGCTCCTCTTTTCTCCTAGACCTGTGCTCCCTGCACAGTCTGCTGTGCTGCCTGCCCTCTCCCTGATCAGCTGTATGCCACATACACAGGCTGCCTGTGGTACTCATGCCGCCGGCTGGCCTCCCCTGCTTTAAGGTAAGAACGAAATATGTGGTTTCCCCACTTCCACTCCCTACCTAATACTTCATCATACCTATATCAGGCAAGCTAACAACATTGAAAATTTGGCTTCAGGCACCAGAAACAGAACAAAAGTGCTGTCACAGTCATGTAGATATGCAACGTCAAAACTTGCCCAGTAGTTCAGCAGTGTAGTATTTCTAGTACATGGCTTGCAACCAAAGCTGTGGCTGAGGTGATGGGAAATGAATCCGGGATGGTGAAAAGGCTTACATCTCAGATTATCAACATTTTACAGCCTACTTTTTAATCAAACAATACCAAATAAGCAACGCTGAAATAAATAGAGAAGCAGTATTGGCAAGGAGTTTGATTTAAGAAAAGCACCACAATTTGAGATGCAGCTGAAATATCCTTGCAATACAGCTGAGGAACCACTAATCTTAATTATAGGATGCATCTTTCAGGAGCTGATTAATTTAAGTCACTAAATCTCTCATCGCCCTGTCCACTGAAGATGTTGGCAAAAACCTCTTCCTCTACTGGCTCTTAAAAAGATCAGTTGAGTGCTTGTGGGAATGCCCTACCATCAACTCCCCTGTCAATCATACATCCTTACACATGCATTTTCCACCTAGTAGCCTAATTAAGCCCTTCCTACTCCCCTTCTACTGTCACTTGATGTCAATTCTACTCATGGCTGAACAAAGTATACACAGTATAGCCTCATAAATCTGGTATGCTCGGAACTGAGCACTTGCCAGAAATTTGCAAATGCCAGATCTTTGAAACCAGTGCGATGGCTGGTTGCGAAGCTGGCCAGGTAGTGGCAGCTGGTCTCAGAGCAGCAGCCATACGCAGAGCAGTGGTGCGAGGTGGTGAATGGCAGTGGCAGCCACCATGTGCACGCTTTCCCCTCTGTGTCCGGGAGGGCAGGGGGGAGTCGTGGCTGGTCCCGGAGCATCGGGGGGGATGCTGAATTTGTTATAATTCCGGTTTTTGGTATCCAGATTTATGAGGTTATGCTGTAGTAAGAAATTAGAAACTGCTTATTGGTGGCTGCTATAGCACAACTGTGCGCCCTTATTTTAACACAACAGACTAGACAACCAGATGTTGTGTGATTATACCAGAAGATAAACACAAACAAACAAAATCCTTTGTTAAAATACAATTGTACAAAACAGCTCCTCAAAAAAATAGGATGCAACTCAGATGTCAGCAAGAAAGGTTGACTGGTTTGGAAAGTTTTAGATCTATGGCTAAAGCATAAACCTACATGAACTTCCAGTAATGTGATTCAGCAGACAAAAGGAGCAAATCTAGAAGTGATACTTCCTGCTCCATTAAAAGTATTCCTGCAATACACCTTATTGCAGTAATTAGGACTATCATGGTTTGTTCTCTTTTCTGATGCAGGATTTTGGAAATCCTGAACTGGCCACTTCATGTAGCAGAAAGCCTGAGAGACTACTATGGCCTAAAAGCCTGTGTTACATAGCTACATGAATGACAGCAATTTAGTTTATTTCTGAGGGGTAGACAAATCCTGTTCAAAAGCATCTCTCTTCTGGAGAGTAAGATAGATGCATAAAAAATTCCTCTCACTGCTACAACTTATGACTTATCAAGATGACAAAGCACCTCTATTTTAGGTGGGAAGTAGAAAATAAACCAAAACCTTTCTTTATCCTGCTTTTACAAACTGAGGGCATTTATACACATACATCTGTCTGCTTCGACACACTGGATCTCCAGTGCATCGGAGCAGTCTTGATTAATTGGGTCTGCCCTTCATGTAAGCTGATGTGCCCGGTGCTGTAGTATACCTGTGTATAAACAGCAAAATGTGCGTCAGTGCTGAGAAAGTGGCAGTGGTGCAGTGCTGTTCTTTTGAACTGAAACACCTTTGATGTGTTTTAGTTCAAAAGTGCACTGCCACCATTTTCTCAGCGCTGACATGCATTTTGCCATCTATACAAATGCATGCACCGCATGAACTGGAGCACTGGGAACTTTTAAAAGCTGTTAAAAATGCCCAGTGCTGCAGCGCAACCATGTGCGCAAATGCCCTAAGAGTCCATGCAAATAAAAGAGTATTAGTAGGAACAGGGCATTTTGGGGAATGAAAAAGTGAAGTGAAGCAATACAACTCCAATAATGCCCAGTGAAAAATGTGTGTTGAACACCTCAAGCTCTGTAACAGTATAAGGTTCTAAGAGTACTGTGCAGATGAAAATATAAGAATTTACTAATACAAAGAAAAGACAGATGCTGTTATCTAACAATCTGTGAGGTGAACCAAAGTGCAATTTTGGCAGGATTTTGTGTTTTGCTGAGGTTCTACAGTTTTCTATTCACAAAAATAATTGTGTATTCTATTCACAAAAATATAATAATTTATTTATACTTCATTTACAACTAATAAAAAGCTACTATTGACAATTACTTGCAAAACTTATATAATGCAGTTCTTGGTTTTATATCAAACCTTTTATACAGCTATTCCAATAAAATACAATTATACATTTGAAATTAAAATGTAGATGGTGGGAAAGAGGGATACATAGAGGAGGAGAGAAATGTGCTCAAATGAGATTTGGGGGGAAAAAAAGAGAGTCAGTTAATTAGAGAAACAAACAAGACCATTTCATATGGTAAGAGCACAGAGAAAGTGTTTGTAACTAACGGTGTTGGGGATTGAGAGGTATTCCATGCAAATAAGTACAGAAAAGCAAGTAAAAGATATGCGGCTTGCAAGCCGAAGGCAGACAAATCCATAGGTCTTAAAAACGAAGAGGAAGTTCAAACTAGCTTCCTGAAATGAATAGGGAAGCAGCAGAGTGGTCTAAGCCTGGTCACATAAGTTGTGCTTCTTGTATTTATGAATTAGGCAGCAAGTCTACACTTGATTGACAGTTAAAACTGAGAAGCAATAACAACTAGATTGTTATTCAATGTGGAGTTGAGACTGTGGCATAACTTGATACAAATAACCATATTCACAGATATAAAAGATGAGGGAGGAAAAGGGAAGTTCAAGGCCAAAGTTATATAGAATGAAAGCAAGTAGGAGAGCTGAATCAGCCAGAGGAAGAAAATAGGTAAAAGTGCATTTATTGATGCTCCTCTTGTCTAAGGCACTCATTTAAAGGACTCTAAAAGAGAAGCCATAATAAAACAGGCTGTCTGCGGACAATTAAAGCCATCTATAGTTACAGCTTGGTTCAACTTAAGTGATTTAAAATTGTACAAACAGATAGCATGACAAAAGAGGTGAAAGACAATGCAAAGGATCAACGAGATATAAATGATCCCATAGAGAAGACAGATGTTAGTCGAAGTGAAATCATGGTTTGACGTGTAGGAATGGAATCATGAGGAAACCAGACACCTGCATACAGTCAGTTCAGGAAGAAGGATTTCCCCCATCTCCTAGTGACAATTAATTTGAGGAGAATGAGAAGGAAAAAGGGAGCCGTCATCAGAAGAAATAAAACCACTGACTATGTAGAGGAGCACAATTTCCACGCTATAACAAAAGCAAAACTCATACTGAAAATAGTTGAGGGTGAACAAGGTGACTCTCAAAGTTAAAGACAGCTCACAAGGGCCTAGGGAACAAACTAAGGAGGATGCAGAGTTTAACAAGTAGGGAAAAATGCCAGGAGATAGCAACTCAGTTTCTTAGAAAACTGAGTCACCGAAATGTACAGGGAGCAAAAAACAGTTTTGAGAAGTCCAATGTAAGAACTAGGGGGACAAAACTGGTGAGATCACAGGGCTGGAGAATATAGTTACACAAATACAAGACATACCAGATTAGAAGGATGAAACTATTCTTTGCTCAACACAGGGAAGGAATAGAAGAAAGGGCAAATTAGATAGGTGGGAAAGAATTAATAGCATGGAGTAGGGAGTGAGGATTTACCAGTACCTTTGGAAATGAGGGAAGAGTAGAAATTAGATATTGCAGCCCGGAGGGCATCCCTGTAGAATACCTGATGAGATATATAAATAAGAGTGTACTCACTTGAGAATCATAGTCATGGTTTCTTTTCTGTCTTTCCCTTGGAAAGGTAGAGTACCAGTGAGCATTTCAAACTGTATAGAGTAAAACTTTCATCAATTACATTAAAAGACCTGGACAAAACCTAATTATTGACAAAGCTACTTAGCAGCCTAGCTTTTTAAAGGTCATGCACGTCAACAATTAAGCTTCTGCAAAGCAATTTCTTGTAGCACAGATTTTAATTAACATGAACATCTGGTAGCCTACTGTCTGTTCTTAAGGCCAAAAGAGTTTCCTTTATTACTCTGCATTTAGAACCTTTTGATTTTTTTAAAGAGTTCACCTTCCACATAATAATTTTCTATATGCCATTTCTATGTAAATACAATGATTCTGAAAGTTTGAGCAAAACCATCTTAGTTCACAAGACAAAGTTATTGCTCAGTTTTTTTCAAAATCTATATGTTTAAATGATGGCAAAAGTGAGATTTTTCATGTAAATTTGTTGTTATAAATATATTTAAGTAAAGATATGCATGATTTAAAAGTGGTTAATATATACGGCTTGTAGGAATGTAACCAACACTAAGGGCTCACATAAAAAGCTGCACTGTGCATGCATGCAATGCAATATTGCACCAGTTACCTTTACTGTTCTACTCTGAAACTGACCTTGTAAAAATGGCACCTTAGTAGAAAATGTGTGTTTCACATATTCCAACATAGTATAGAGATATCCAAGTTGCTTTTGAAAAAGATAGCTTTTATATATCTGGAGCCATCTAGATACAGTAGTACATAGCTCTGCCCAGGCTAATTTACCCTTCCTTTGACTTCAGAAGCACCAAGAAATTTACTGTGAAATGTTTTAATAAAATCTCATGGTTGTACATTAAAAGTCAGGAGATAATAAATGTTAAATGTGAACAGCTATGTTAATATGGATATACTGTATATGTATAGTTCTAAAAAAGAGTGTATACATGAACCAAGTGAACAGTAACGATGACTATATATTCAACCACAATAGTCAAATAAAATGTGCAAGCACAATTGCCCTCAGTTTGTACAACCCATGCCTAATACACAGCTTTTTATAAAGATTATAGTACAAAACAAAAAGTATGAGATGCTGCCATTTCATATGGTTGCTGAAGCTTGTTTTTTTCTTCACTTTTTTGAAAACAATATATTTAACTAATCATTCATTTAAAATCCCCCCTCCCATTTAATATAATGCTAACACAGATGAACTTAAATTTTCCTCACTTTGATATATTTCACTACACATTTCAAAAAAGCTGTGGTGAAGACAGCTCTAATCTAAGACTACACTTTAAACGTATGCATCTTAATGGTACAGTATGAAGCTAAAAATAGACACTGGATTTCTCCAGGGACAAAGCCTTTTATTCTGGGATCCAACAGATGTACAAGCCTATTGTCCCACTTCAGTTATCCTTGAATTATCTGAAATACCACTTTTTCTCCTCAGGACAATCAGAGCTGATTCTAGTTTACTGCCATTTCAGATAGCAGTGTAAAACACTCTCCTGTGCCTGCCTGTTTTAGATGCATGCCAAAGCCAGGTACAAAGAGAGCCAGGATAAACACAACAACTTTTATCCTGTGATATATTATTCAAACTGAACTACATTTGTGACAGTAAGAAGAGAAAGTAAACTGTGTGATGCAACAAATTCTCTTGTTATTTATTTTCAGTCTGCACCACTTGAAAAATCAGTAAACCTTTTGCTGATTAGTATTATGATACTGTATAAAATGTCTGTATCCTTTAACCCACATGACTAAAAAACTACATAGAACTATGAACAGCAACTACTTCGTATATTTTTGGCCTGTTTTAAAAAAATACTAATAGCAATAGTTGGCTATTTTTAACATTCCTAAATTCAACCCCAGAGCCAAGTACAGTATTAAGTGAAATTTAGCCATGTTTTTGTTTCTTAATGGCTTCTATTTCTAACAACTCAATTTACAAACAAAATTTTTTTTATTCTTGTAATTACCAGTTCTTGAAACATCCTGTAATCTTGAAACTAAGTTTTGTTTCTATTCCATTATGGATACTAAAGAGTCTGTAATCATATTTTAAGTAATTCTTTGACAATGTGCAAACCAGCAAACTGTTTAATGTCACTTACGCTTACAATGACAAATGTGACAAATATGTATTCTTTCAGTAGGACATACAAATGAGCATCTAAAAGAATGATAATACCAGCATTAGTCTGTGATCAGGTGCCATTTATACGCAATCATTTTTCAGACCGCAACAGCAGGTTGAACAATTTAAAAGGTGTCTGGGCATATTTTCAGACATACTGAGTGCCCTTACCAGATCACAAGGCACATACAGAGACTATACTGTTAAAATTACACAGGTTTTGCAGAAGCATTAAAACAGATCTTTCATTTTAGAAAGAGTTCTCAGTGTTAAAAAACTACACACGAATCTAAAATATAATTTATTTAGCATTGCTAAAAATGCCAAATCAGTCATTTTAAAAATATATATTTGTTGTAAATATTAAAAGTCACACAGCACAATAAAAGCTGCTTTTTGAAGAAATGACCCATTAATGGTTTGAGAAACAACTGAAAGTGTAAACAGTTAAGTGAAATTTTAAATGATCTTGCTATATGAAAACAAAATAGCTGTCATCTGTTCCTCTACCGGTCTGAAACTGCGGCAGAGAAAACATTCAGAAAAGTTTAGTAGTTACATTTTTTAAGACTGAATTAAACTTCAGAATATTAATCTAAATGAATTTTATTTTCTGTTTAAAAATAAGTTTTTCTAAATGTTAATTTTTTTCTTACAGTCTCACTTAACTTTCATAACCCCCCACCAACATATGAATAATATTCTAATCAAGCAAAGAAAGAAAGAAAGGTGGAATAGTATCAGTGATGATCTGGTCCATGCTTCTGGTCCCAGCTGTGCAGTATTGCTAATTACCAATACCTTCATGTGACTGGTTTAGCCCAATGTTTCTCAAACTGAAATATGCATGCTCCTTGGGGTGTGCAAGGAACTTCTAGAAGGCACATGAGGGAAGAATAGGAAAGCAGAAGGGAAAAGAGAAATATAAATGGACAAAACTGAAGGGAAAAAATGACAGATAGCTACAATTTTTCTTAGATTTCTGGAGAGTTTAGTGTGGTTGTAGAGACAATATACCTTTTTTTTAAAAACTATTCAGAACCAGGAATCATTGGTATATAATGCAGTGTAACAAACTTAAGAGGGGCACACAGCCCCAAAAAGTTTGAGAACCAGTGGTTTAGCCAGTCATAACCCACTCCCTTACAGCCCATTTTAATCCCAGTTTATTACTATTTGATTTTATTTTAACCACGCTTTCCTTAAAGCAGCATAATATTACTACTGTTTACCAGAAACCTACCATTAAAACACCAAAAGACCACCAGTCGGCACTCTGTGTATGGCCTCGTCGATTAACTACTTCTGGGGCCATATATTCTACTGTCCCACAGAAGGAGTAGGCTTTCTTTTCATGATCAATGGACTCTTTGCTTAAGCCAAAATCTGGAAAATATCATAATATAAAAAGTATGTCTGATACTTTAAAAAGGCAACTTTTGTATTTTCCGAGACTTAAGAATATAAAACAAACTGCAACTTTCTTCACATTGTGAAGGATCCATATAAATTTCCTTTATTTTTTATTTTAATATTTACATATTCATATATTATTTAAATATCATCATCTCAGATATTCCAAGTTAAATAATACCATCTGCTTTCCTGGTTTTTAATTACTTGCAACAGAAAATAAAGTATGGGTTTTATTCTTCATTTTAAAAAGCCAAATCCAGTCAGTTGCTCTGAATTAAGAACTCTTGATAAGATGGAGCTTAAAATAAAGGAATTTATCCTTACTCACCTGTCAATTTGATGTGTCCTTCTTCATCAAGCAGTATGCTAAAAAAAGAGGAAACGCTGTTTTGAAAACTCTTATAACCTTGGTTTTTTTTTTTTTCCCCAATATACTGGTCAAATGAACCTAAAATAAGCATACAGCTCTGAAGAGTAATATCAGCTGTTGAAGAGATACATAAATGAAAACATGGAAAAAATTGTTAGCGGAAAACTTAGGATTTAATTTTTTAAAATACTGGTCTTAAAACATGAATTAACATGAATTTGGTTTATGATTCTTTTATGCTTGTGCTTAGGCAAGACAGTGTGCAGAATCAGAACTAAGGGAACTCATTTCTCCAACTTTTTATACAAAATCATACCTACATAAAAAAACAAAATAAAAAACAGACAGGGTAAAGGCAAGAGATTAACAAAATACATATTGCTGTTCAGATTCCCCTTCTTCCCCACAAATCCATTTCCATTCAAATTCCTTACTAAGAAAGAATCTGGAATCTATTTCTTAAGAATTACATGCAACTGGAAGACGCATTTAACTAACAATAGATTTCTGAACGTTGAATTTTCTATCTTTTGTCCACCTGCAGTATGCTATATATCCACAGTATTAAAGTAACGGTTGCATTTTTAGTGTTTCTCAAATTGAGCAGATAAGGTTATACGAAAACAGACCAAAACAATTCTCTGCATACACACTAGGGCTGTGTGAAATTTTGACAGGCGTTTCATTTCAAAGCTGTTTCGACGTGTTTCAAGCTCGAAACAGCAAAATTGAAACGAAACAAAAGGCTTAAAAATGAAACAAGCACACTTGAAACATTTAGAAAGCTTCAAAACATTTCAAATTTCGAAGCTGGGCTTGCTTGCAGCTAAACAGAAACTAAGGAGAGGGAGGGGAAAAGGGGGGAGGGGGAAAGATTGTTCTGATATTGACATCTAGCTCCCAGTTTGATTCCCTGCCTCTCTGACTGCTTTCCCCAGCTCTTCCTGGGGGGCACCGGCCCCCGATCTGCGTGCAGGGTTTCAGCAGGCTACCTCTGAAACCCGCGCGCAGATCCAGGGGCCTGCGCCCCCTGGGAAGAGCAGGGGGAATGTTCAGGTCCTTGAACATTCCCCCAGTTCCTGGCTGGATTCTCCAGCTCCCCAGTCTTTCCCCCAGCTCTTCCTGGGGAGTGAGGGCCCCCAGATGATGCGGGATGACAGCAGGCTGCCGCTGCCAGCTGGGGATGGCAGCGGTTTTGGGTTATTTCCCCAGCCGTTAACAGCAGCCGGCTGAAACACCGCACGCCGTTCTGGAGGCCTGTGGCCCCCCAGGACGGCTGCAGGGCTGTGCCAAACTCCTGCTGGGGGCTGCAGGCCCCTGGATCTGCACGCAGGATGACAGCAGGCTGCTGATGCTGGCTGAGACTGGCACTGGGCGCAGCCCCTGCTGAGCGCCAAGACAACTGGTGCTGGCATTGGCCGCAGCCTGTTGTCACACTGCAGACAAATCTGGGGCCCGCGCCCCCTGGGAGGGCTGTGCCAGTCTCCTTCCTGGAGGCGTGGGCCCCTGGATCTGCATGTGGGATGACAGCATGCTGCCACTGACGGCTTGGGCCAGTGCCAGCACCCGAATCTGTTCGGTGCAGCCCATGCTGAGAAGAACCCAGGGCTGGAGCTGGCCCCAGCCTGCTGTCATCCCACATGCAGGTCTGGGGGCCTGCACCCCCGGGAAGAGTCTGGCACATCCCCATAGCCCTCCCAGCGAACATGAGCCCCCAGATCTACATGCAGGATGACAGCAGGCTGCTGCTGCTGGCTGGGGCCAGCGGCAGCACCAGTCTTCCCAGTGTTTGGCATGGGCTGCGCTGAGCGCTGGTTCCAGCCAGCAGCATGCGGTCATCCCATGTGCAGATCTGGGAGCCTGTGCCCCCTGGAGTCTGGCATAGCTCCACAGCCCTCCCAAGGGGCATGGGCCCCCAGACCTGTGTGCAGGATGACAGCAGGCTGCCGCTGCCAGCTGGGGCCAGTGCCTGCACTGGGTTCTTCCCAGTGCTCGGCACTGGCTGCTCTGGGCAGACTTTGGTGCTAGTGCTGGCCCCAGCTGGCAGTGGCAGCCTGCTGTCATCACACACAGATGCAGGGGGCACCCCCCCCGGCAGAGTTCAGCATAGCCCTGCAGCCCTCTTGGGGGGTGTGGGCCCCAGATCTGTGCACTGGATGACAGCAAGGTGCCACTGCCAGCAAGTGATACGTGTTTTGCTTTGAACAGTTTGAGGTGCAGTTTCCCAGAAACCCCTGCACCTATCTCCTTGAAACTTGGCAGACCTCATGCCATCAGAAGGGGCTACCATCCCGGCAGTTTTCATTCGAACCAGGCAAGAAAGGACAAAGATATAGGCATTTTTATGATTCTCCATTATAGCCTATGGGCGAAACATCGAAATAGCGAAGCAGCTTCAATGAAACAGAATAGTGCTTTAAAACAGCAAAATAAAACACTGTCCCTTCAAAATGGTGAAATGGAAGTCAAAATGAAATGGTGCTATTTTGCACAGCCCTAGTACACATATATTAAATATGTTATTTACCTAGTTATCTACCTTTGGGTTCAACAGGAGCAGTAACAATTTCATGTGTTATGGTCCAGTCCCTTTAAATTCTAAACTTAAACTGCCATCCGACTGCCATCACCTTGCAGGCTTTCGTTGGACTTGAACCTGCCATAATGTATGGAGTGGCTCTCCTGAAACATTCAGGATCCTGAACAACCTCTGAATTCAGGATCAGTCTCTTCAGCTGACATCAAGAGTCCACACTGCTTTTGAAAGCATAACTCATCAAATTGGAATGAGGACCTCATCCAAACTTTCTAAATAATTTTGACCTTTGCTAGTCAGCTCCAAGTCAGATGCACCAAAGCTTAACATCAACAGTAGGTATCTGTGAAGAATTTATGCAGATAGTTGATGTAGGATTTTTAGGAAAAACATGCTGAATACGCAGGGGTCCCTCTCCTATTCTGGTTATTAATAAATAGAACCTATTTTTTATATAAACAAACAGAAAAAAGATCCTTAATATTTTTGTTCTTTTACTTGGCAAACAGGTTTTCCTCACTCCTTTATTTCTAATGGCTCATAAATTAATGCAGTTTAAAACTCATTTGCTTTCTTGGTTGCTCACCAGTCTTGTGGAGTTCAGCACAGCTTCAAAAATATGGTTTAAATATGCAACTGTGCTGCTTGTGGAAGTGGCTGCTTGTGATGCTCCAACTGTATATAAAAACATCACACATCATCTAAAAATGTTTATTTTGCAAAAAATCTCTTTCAGAGTGAGCTTGGTGTATTTTTTAATTACCCAGAAAAAGTTCATCTTCCTGAACTCTTCATAATTTGATAAGTTTTCAACCAAATCATACTTGCATAGGCATGAAAAGTCACTGGGAAATACCAGAATTGAATAATTCATGTGCCGTATGATATTTGCTGCACCAGCACTGATTGGGATAGTTGCAAACAGAAAGACCGCAAGGTTTGTGATGGAAGTATAAGCTTTCATTTAAAGAAAAAAAAAAAAGGAAAAAGAAAAAAATAACTCCATGTGAATGAAACAAATTAAACATCTTAAGTGTGGAAGAAAAATGCTAAAAAAAAGGAAGAATCTCAAGTACATTCTACAAGTAAGACTGTCCTAAAGCACAATGCCTTTCAACAATGAATAGTTTAAAGAAGAAACTGAAAAAAACTGTACTGAAAAGTTGGCTCTTGCAGACTATCCTGTTTTAATGGAATAAAAACATTTTTGGCTTAGAGAAAATATCTTCAAGTATACCAGTTAAGTCTATGATATAAATTGAATCTCTGGGGCAGTTCTCTCTTAAAAAAGAAAAGAGAATTCCTTCCTGTTTTGAAAGGAAAGTCAAAGACAGACCTACTAAAAGAAACATCAGGAACAGCGTATGTATTCAGTTGTACAAAGCACAGGAAGAATATGTATGGGCAGTCAGGCTTCCAATGTGTAGTCCTTCTAAGTCAGCAATAGCTATTTTTATTAGGAGTTGTCCCCCCCACCCCGAATCTCCAATCAAAGTGTTGATTTGGAGATTTGGCCATAGACTATAATGGGGAAATCACTAAACTAATTTTGTCATTTTTTTTGCAGATTTGGATGAAAACTGCAGGGATAGTACCCCCTTCTGAGGGCATGAAGCCTGTCAAGTTTCAAGGAGATAGGTGCAGGGGGTTCTGTGAAAGTGCTCCTCAATGTTCTGAAAGCAAGTTTAAAAAAGCATATAGGTGCAGAGCGAGGAGGCTAGCACTGACTCTGTCTGTAAGTGGAGCTTGAGGAACCTCAGGAGGTTCACCTTCAGGGACACCAGCTGCCCCACCAAACCAGGATCCAAGGAGATGTGGTGGGGTGTCAGAACATCCCAGGCAATGCTGAACACCCTCTTGCTTGGAACATTGGTTGGAGAACAGGACAGGTATTCCTGGGCGACAGTGGCCAGATCCTGCCATACCTGGCTGCGGGTTGCCCAATAGGCCAAGGGGTCACAGTGCAGCAGCTTCATGTCCTTGGTAGGGCAGCTAGATAGGTAGCCAATGAGACCTCCATGCTAACTGCCTGATGGTGGGCTCTGGTGCCTCTGGACCCCAATATTGCAGCCATACCCTTGGCCAACATTGGCAGTGGCTGTGGTGGAGGAGATTGGCTCGCGGTTGGAGTGCTGGCATGGGAAAGCAGATCCTCCGCTGAGGTGCTCAGTGGCCTTGAGGAATGGCTTGAGGACCACCAAGATCTGGGAGATTGTATCCCACTCCATTTTGTTAAGGGGGACAACGATACCAATTTCCCTGACCAAGGCCATCTCATGGATGGCCTTCTGTTGCTTGACCAGCCTTTTCAGTATCAGCTATGTGGAGTTCCACCTAGTCTCCACATCCTGCATGATTTTGTGCTGCAGGATTCTCAGCTCTGCCCATTTGTCCTGCAGCACCTTGCCCTCCTTGATAGTCCGGTGGAAGTAGCTCAGCACCTTCCTGCACTCGTGACATGTAGGGGGTGTACATGCACACCATGAGATTAGCCGTGCATCCCCTGGAAGCACCAGTTGCGAAACCAGAAGTGCTGATGGAAGTGCACTTCCAGTTTTGCTGGTGGTGGTTCCAGGCTCAGCAATTGGCCGCTGGGTGGGGGAAACCCCCAATCGATGATCTAGTGCCCCCCCCCCCCCCCCCCCCC